TAAAAAAGACTCAACAGTTTTCATTGACTAAAATAATTAGTTTTCTTTGACTAAAATAAGACTAAAAAGCTCAGACTTTTAGTCGACTAAAACTTGACTAAATAAAAACAGGATGAAGGTGACTAAATATGACTAAAACAAAAAAGGAAATTTAACAAAGGACTAAAACTAAATTAAAAAATAGCTGACGAAATTAACACTATTGTACACTATAGAAATATCAGTATGTGTCTTGAAATAAAAAAAGAATCTCATTAATACAAAATAAATATATTACCTGTTCAGATGTTCGCCTGTGGTTGTTCAGCGTTCATCTATGGGAGACATCCGTGCTGCAACGATACTTAAATCAAAAAGTTGGCTGAGTCCCATAAGTCTGTGGTTTGACAAGTTAGAGGAACATCAGTGGATATTCCTGTAACTTGTCCTATTCTAATTGCTTCCTCATACCTAGTGAACCAAACAATCCATTGTTCTTTAACAATAATAAAGATTATCAGACTCTGTTCAGCAGAAACAAAAAGGTTATATATTTCACAACAAATCTGGAGTATACAGAGTAAGCTGCACTTCAATATAACGTGTTTATGTAAAGGGAATGCCTCGAAGCACAATTGGTCAACATTAAAAACACATGAACTAATTGATAATGCTATACAAATGGTACAAATTCCAACGCTCCAACACATTGTACATGATAGGCTAAGAGGCTGGACACTCTAAGCCGTTGACCAATCAGAGCAAACTGGGCTCTGGTTTCAGACAGAGGCAGTATGAGAAAAATAAAGAGCTTTTTGAATATTAAAGCATGGAAACATGTCACAGGAGTAGAGGCACAACATACAAATATGCCCTTTGATATTAACTAGTTTTTCAGAACTGAATACTTTTTCAATGATAACTGTTGAGAATATATGAATCATACTTTGTATTGAAATGAATTGTATACTATTGGATATTTGTTTGAAACTGTTATAATAATAATTCTTGAGTTATGGTCTACACGTGTGTTTTAAGGTCTCTGTGACATTGGCTTATGAACTTGGACCAGTTTGTCCTTTAGTGGAAGTGAGTGTTTGAGCGAAACTTAAAGAATGCCCCTCCTGGCGTTTATGAGATATCTCGTGACAGGCTGACACCCAACCCCGAAAAAAATCACACTTCAGGACACCATGACAGCCTGAGGCATCAAAAGTGATGTTCAAGTTGTCCTTATCTGTAACCGTATCTGTTGAACCAACACACAGATATGTCTCTGTGTCTGTATACTGGAAGTCACATTCAATCACACCATATGTGTATAATGATCAGAGACTCATTTATCATTTATCTGTCAATGTGTTCCTGAGAGAAAACTGGAAGTTAGATAAGCTAGACGACAAAAGAACAGTCTCTCTCACATAGCTTGACTGGAAACTAGTAGTATTGGTTTTATATTGTTTTTGAGATATCTGCCTCTATCTCAGTACGATGCGGGTGAAATTAATGTCTTGTTTGACTTTAGTAATCTCGATGGTACTCAGAAAATAGCAGCTTTTATGGGGTGTATTTATTAAAATGTTAACATTTCCCATTGAACCCTTTTTTCTCTACTTTTTGTATAGGCCTACACCATGCAAGTAACTTTAAGTCACAAGTTATCGAAACCCTACTATATCTTAACCGGTGAAGGAAGCAAATATTTAGGAATGTGAAAGCTGACCTCTTTGTGAAAACTCTTTGTGAAAACTCTTTTGTTCCGAGGCACTGTTGTTAAGTTTCTGTTTTGTTTCTCAACAATCACATGATAAAGTATTAATGAAAAATCTCAGGTAATTAACGTTTGTGTTCCAGGTTTCTAACTATAGATCAACCGTCATTAACTTGGTCTTTCAAGTGCGTCACAAGTGAGGCAATTATCTAGATCAGCGGTTCCGAACCTTTTTCAAGTCAGGGCCCACTTAAATGTAAAAAAAAAAAATGTTTTCGCGGCCCACATTGAACCATAAATACGGAGGCTAAATAAAGTTTGGTCAATTCAGAACATGCGAGACGTTGTAAATCCAGTAGAACAGACCGCTGTCAAGGACTGTAATGACCGTTGCTAGGCAGGATCAAGAAAGAGAAAGGAAAAGAGTTTCAAATAAAAAAAAATCTTAATAATGAAAATGTTTCCACACAAATCATAATGTTTTGCAAATTATTTGGCGGCAAATATTGAATTTACATTTACACCCTTTAATATTTTTATTTGGGCTTTTAGATGTAGACCGCTCACAGTTCATAAATACAACTATTCTTCTGGCTAAAATACATATTTTTAGAAGTCAATCAAGGAGTAATCTTAATTGAAGGTATTTGAAGAGTAGATCGAAAATACATTTTCTTTTGAAAACAATTATTGCCACAAAAAATCAAAGGGTGGCTCAACAGCCATGAAATAGGAAATAATTAGCTCTAACGAAGAGTGGGATTAATTAAAGGAACAATAAATATTCTTGCCATGTTGTGTTTTTGGTGGTTTTTGGTTGTCAACCTATTTTTGTTTGTGAAATGTTGAAGTGATCCTACTGACTGTATCTTTATTTCTTCTGTTTTTGTCTGAGATGGGAATCATAAATCAAAGCCCTCGATTGGTCTCTGTGTGTCATTCAAGCTCGGGATAACCTAAGCACAGGTGAGGTAAAGGACTCTGAGTGTTTAGATAGTTAACTTAGTCTAAGTTCTCAGTGGGTCTCAAACCATTTATGTAAACACATATTTCCATTTGAGGGAGTAGTGATTAGTAAAATATGCATGAATAAAAAAGAAAAAAGTACACTTTATGATTATTGAAATGTATACAGTTCTGTTTCATATAGGTGTTCCCATAGATCTAGTGTCTTTATTTTCCCCTTAAAATGCACCAGATTGATGCATTTAACTCCAAAATAAAATAAAAAGTCTTACCGGGGGAACATGCCCCCGGACCCCCCTAGAGGATCTGAGGTCCACCCCTACTTAAAATCACATGGATAGGTTCCTAAATACATTTACAATTTTTTTTAAATAGTAACCCATGTCCATATGTTTATTTGTGTATAGTAGATTTAAACTATAGGGCTATCACTATGAGCCCTACCTATACCTGTTCGCTCTGCCATCGCGTGAAGGGTCTGCTAANGTCATTCAAGCACAGCAGGGGGGAGAGGAGGGAGAGGAGGGAGACAGGAGAGGCTGATTCAGGAGCACAGACACACTCACAACTATAAATGAACCAAAAATAAATAAATAAATAAACAAGTTTCAGTGTTTTTTCATATTGGAAATGGGATGGTTATGGCCATAATTGTATGATTATTGAAATGTATACAGTTTTGTTTCATGTAGGTGTTTCCATAGATCTACCGGTAGTCTCTTTATTTGCCCCTCAAAATGCACCAGATTGATGCATTTAACTCCAAAAAAAAATCTTACCGGGGGAGCATGCCCCCAGACCCCTCTAGAGGATTTGAGGTCCACCCCCACTCAAAATCAAATGGATAGGTTCCTAAATACACTTACATTTTTTTTAAATAGTAACCCATGTCCATATGTTTATTTGTGGGTAGTAGATTTAAACTATAGGGCTATCACTATGAGCCCTGCCTGTACCTGTTCGCTCTGCCATCGCGTGAAGGGTCTGCTAACAAGCGACCAACAGAAAGGTTAATGTTAATGTTGTTGCACGTCACAAAGGCACGTCACCTCATCTGCGATCTGAAATAGCTGCTAGCATAGCTGTAGACTCTTGGTTGAGTTAATTACATGTGTCTATATACTGTAAATGAAGACATGTTATTGACACAGTTTTTCATTTATAACATTAGTTAAGGTTTTGAGTACTTACCCTCCGCAGACATTAGCTCATCAATAAGGTCCACAGCACCTACAAGAGAATGAAAAACTCTGAGTAAAAGCAAACTTGAATCTAAAAGCAAATGTGTAGCAAACATTAAATGCCCCTGAGTTTCATGCCTGTATGTAAATATGGAGATAACCCTTGTAGCGTCACATACCATCTCTGTCGTCCTTCAGGTGGTCTCCGGCTGTGCTGAGCTTCAGCAGGCTGCCCACGTCCAGCACCGACTGAAACTCTGAGCCCAGGTCCATCTGCTGCTGCCCCAACATCACCGCTGACTGAACGTGACACTCTGCAGGGAGCAGCGGGGGGGGGGCAAAACTTAGCTATACTTTACAGCCTATTGTGGACAATTAAACTTTACAGGGCTCAATTATCTGGACCTAGAATTATTAAAGAGTACGCGACACACTGGGACAGAGACCCTTCTACAGTCAGCTGTGGTGGGAGTCATTTCAAGTCCATGTTGGTTCTGGGCAGCGCTATGTAACATTTGATCCTCATATCAAAGTGTTTCTCTTTAACGGTATCTGAGGACTCTCACTGAAGAAAACAACCTTAACCTCTATAGTTTTACAAAACATAATGTTCATACACCTTTGGCTGTTGCATTTGTATCCATATAGTATTTAGTATTGTGATGTTTTGTAATGCAAGTACTATAGGAACTAGAATGATCTTGTTCTCGCATCTTGGCTCCAACATCAAATATCAGCAGACTTTTAAAGCTGTAATGAACCAAATGCACACATGACGCGTTTCATTAATCAAAGTGTTTTCTTACTGCTCAATCGTTGAGTCGTTGGATTTGGGGAACGTCTCTGAATGCAAAACGGAGAATGTGTGTCCGCCAATATTTAGTGCTCCATAATTGTAGTCAAAACATATTACTCTCAGTGCGAGCCACCATAGTTAAACAACAAGGAGATGATTACTAATTGAGCAATAGAGTTGCACTAAAAAAAGGATGGCAGCATATGATGCTGAAAGAACTGGGTGTTGAAAGTTCACTCTTACAGTAAAAATGAGTAATCACTTCCTATTTTACACACACACACACACACACACACACACACACACACACACACACACACACACACACACACACACACACACACACACACACACACACACACACAATAATAATAATAGTTTTTTTAAGGTGTTATTTGGATAGTACATTTAAACAACTATATTTGACTTGAATTTTGATTCCCTGAAGACTTGATGCCCACGTCCAACACAACTATTACACGCCTTGTTGTTTATTTATGTGCCTTTTATGATATAATACAATAAAAAAAAAAGATAATTGACAAAACTAGGGAGGGTCA